AGAAAGATTTTGAGTATGCAGTTTTGTGACCCATTCAATTAGTATAACAAAATGTAAGTTTGAAGTACTGGGGCTTACCGTTGATTTGTGGAATTTTTTTTGCTGAGAAACATTTCGAGAACGGCTTTGCCGTGCCCTATGTACACAAAATGCAGCGATTCGTTCCCGCCCTACACTTGCATCTACGCTTCTTGCATCTTGACGGCTGTCGCAATTTAACAAACATCACTTCATTGTATTAGTTTTTACGCAGTCTGCATCTCTAAAATCACTCACAAATTCCAAGTTAACACAATTTAAACTGATTTTTCACTTATAATTCAAATTTCTCTTTCGCTGATTTGTAAACAAAGGTTTATTTACAAGTTACCACAAGTGTCAAAATCGGCAAAACCAAAGTAGCGGTACCACTGACGGCGCCACCTTTGTTCGCTGCACCGTGAAACGAGCAACACCAAAAGGGAATGTGAAAAATCGAGGGGACAAAAGTTTTCGTGTATAGACGCAGTCTAAGAAAATAAGCCATTGTGATTACAAGCGACATCTGGCGGCATTTTAACTAAAATTACCACTGCAAAGGAAGTTGGTAACCATATCATAAATAGACAACAAAAAAGCAAAAAAATCGCAACTGTTGATAAACACAGTGGAGTTAAAAAATTAAATATTTTTATTGAGTTGAGGGGAAATAGTATTTAAGATTCAAAAAAATGGATTGTGAAGATATGCAGATGATTGAGGAGCCAAATCTCTCGGTGAGTATGTCTATATTGGTCTATATGTCCAGGACATCAAATGACTTTACTGCGTAGTTACTGAATGTTTGTAATAGCTAATACCCCCCTAATATGAATTCATACGATGCACGATAAACGTTTGCGTTCTGCTTTTCTCTTACGAATCGATGTTGTATGAAATCCGAAAGTTAGCGTTGCTGATTTGTGCTGGTTTGCAAGGAAAAGTGAACAAAAACTACAGCTATTAACAACAATTCACCTGTCGGGCATATGAAAACTATAATACAAGAACTGATTTCATACGATACGCTTGCAAGCGTTTATCGTCTATCGTATGAAAATTCATAATAGGGACAATCTCGCTTTAACAAAGAATCTACATTTTTTAAACATGTCGTCATCATTGTAAGTACTCTATTTGAAAATTTTAGTTTTTCAAGAAAATCGAAGCTTGAATTTGGCACTGGAAACGCTGTTTAATTTGATTTGAAGGCGAAATTGAGGGAGGTTTTTTTTTAGCTAAATACATACATATATTACTTTACCAAATCAATAGCTAATAGTTGTTAAGCTATTTATTGTTAAGCAGGTTCATTTGAAAGCTAAAAAATATTAAAAGAGATTCCGAATAGGGTCAAATAAGGCCTTTTGCAATGATCCTGAAGATATACGTGTGTACTAGATTTATCAGGTTTATTTGAATGCCAGCATATACTTAGTATACTTATGTATACTAAGGAGGGCGTAAACTTGCTGTACTTTACTTCGAAGGATTCGTGCCTTATTTATTATACCTTTCTTGACCCTAAATAAGGGTATGTTTGTGAAGTTTAATGAAGGAATCAAAATGATGGCATGTGCCGTCTTTTTTCGTAAATAAATCTATTAAAGAAAAAATGATTTATCTTTCTAGGAACGTAAAGAGACTGGTAAACGCGGACGCAAACCTGGTCGCAAGGCTTCAACAGAAAAAGTCGATATAAGAGCCAAATTAGGTGCGTATGTACATATATATAAATAATGTATCTGTATAAACCAAATGCTTATTAATTTTTGACAGAACGTAGTCGCCAAAGTGCGCGGGAATGTCGTGCCCGCAAAAAATTGCGATACCAGTATTTGGAAGAGTTGGTGGCAGACCGAGAGAAAGCTGTAATAGCTTTGCGTGAAGAACTGGAGCGAGTAGGTCAATATACACAATTATTTATATACTTTAGTTGCTAAATTTATTCAACCGCTTTTTTATAGTACAAAAAGTGGAGCTCCGAACTAAGTGAAGGCAACATACCTGATGGTTTTCAACAGTTACTTGAAGAGGCGGGTGTGCTAAAACAGGAACAAGTTATGTAAAACTAAATACCTCGGTAGTTTGTAAGGGTTTTAACAGCTTTTGTTTTGGTTTTTATAACAATGTAAATTCTAATTGTGGGCTGCAAACAAAATTAGGGAGT